GGAAGGAAGGAAGGAAGGAAGGAAGGAAGGAAGGAAGGAAGGAAGGAAGGAAGGAAGGAAGGAAGGAGAAAGAAAGAAAGACTATATAAGTTAGTTTTCATTGTCCTTCACAAAAACAAAGACCAAAAGTATTAAGAATTCCTCCAAAATTAATCACATTCCAATCAAATACTGTCCCAGTCTTCAATGATGAATACATGCACAGATAACAGAAGACACGCTTGTGAAGAATTGTGGTGCTTTTAGTATAAGATAGATAAATTTACAGCAAAATAGTTATAATAAAGCTTAATTAACTAAATAAAGGCAAAATAGTAAAGTCAGGAATCAAATCAACTGAAGTTGCAGTCAAATTTATTGATTTTCCTAAAATATAGCATAATTCAAAATTACATGATTGTCCTTTTAAAATCTTATTTTGTGAACAGTAACTGTACTTTTTTAGGAGAATGTCATATATATATATATATATATACATATATACATATACACATGTAGGCACACATATAAATACACACATATATAAAAAGACATATGATATATATAATAATACACAAATATGCATTATACTTTATGTATAATCTTTTAAGTCACATACTGTGAAATAATGAATCTATAATTAGTCCATGTTGATACTTAGGAAAATAGCTATATAACATGTCTTAATGATTATAGCATAATAGAAACTATAAATCTATTTCTATGCTCTTAATTAAATATTAAATCTTAAGAGAGTTAAAAAAAGAACACAATAATTGAAAGTTAGCTCAGAAATAACCTCAGAAATCATTCATCCCAACCAGCTTTCTTAGATCATAGGCAAGAAGACAGGAAAATTAAAGATCTTCCTTTCCCCTTTTCCTTTCTCTTTCTTTCTTAAGACAGGATCTTACTATATAGTATATACAGGTTGTCCTTGAACTAAATATGTAACACACATTGGCCTTGAACTTTAGATCCTCCTTCTTCTGCCTCCTAAATGTTAGGATTATATGCATACATCACAAAGTCTGGGTAAGGGACCTTCCTATGGCATATTGCTAACTAGTTAGAAAGAGATCCAAAATTTAAAATTAAACTATTTTTCAGCACCTACTGTTGTATTAACAACACATATCTGAAAGAAAAAAACAAAAATTATGTACACATCTATGTTTACTTCAACAAATTACCAAGTATTACCATTGTTTTGAAGAAAACAGTTAACAGACTTTTATTATCTCCCCCTAAAAATTTCTAATCACATTAGAATATTAGACAATGCTCAGCTTTTAAGTAGTTGTGCCAGTTAAATGACCTAATACAAAAAAAGGCCATTCCTGTGTTGCATTGTGAAGTTATGACAGCTAAGCTGTCTATAACTTCCATATCTGAAAAAAATGCGGCAATGGATGGGAGTATTTTAAAAAAACTAATGCCAGTTCCAGCTCTCTATATAATACCAAGGGTGTACGTGATCACAAATGTGTTCAAGTTCATTCTAGTAAAAGAAACCCCAGGGAAACAAATCTAGCAAGTCTGGTTCATGTAAACATCCTTAAATCAACAAAACAAGCCAATTATTTTTTAATGACGTTATCAAACCCCACTACCTAGTAAGACATGATGCAATACTGTCTATTCCTAACTACCCTACTGATATTCCTCTTTGAGTGCAGAAGAGTACACTTTAGCCATGTTCCACTAAGGAATCCTGGCCCAGACTTTGCACGCTGTACTTAAAGACAGAGTAGATTGCTTGCTAAGTAAGACCACTAGTGTAGACCAGACAATTCAAAATTGTGGCAGCTCAAGTGTCTAACTTCTGTTTTTCCTTCAGGACAAAATCAAAGTTCAGCTATCTCACAAGATCTGGCCCATACATTAACAAATCAAGGAACCAAAGGAATTCTGTACTTCCATTTTCAGATCTAACCTCTGTAGCATAGGAAAGGGCTTTTCTTCAGCTATGCCATTTGTTCTCAGATAAGAGTCAAGTTTGTGCCACTTCATAGTTCAAAACTCTTCATATATGCTACTTTGCCACTGAAAAAATGATTTATTGAGTTTAACAGAAAAACTATATTTAATTAGCCATATAAAGTCTCAACTAATAAACCTTCTAAAATAGAAGTTTCCTCTCATAACACAAGGAGTAAAAAGCTTCCAAAGGCTTAGTTTATTTTTACTTATAGTGGGACTCAGGCAATATGATTTTATATAAACATTCTTCCTGAAAAGTGGTATACTGTAAGTAAATAATTCACTGGTTACTTGTATGCAGTTAGTAACAAATGGGAATATTAGTATTTTTATTACTTTCAGTATTTCACATTTAGTTAGTTGTCTAGATCCAGTACAACTGTTAATGGCAGCAGCTAAATAAACAGAATTTCTTATGTCTAATTAGAAAAATATATATATATATATATCTCAAAGAACTGAAAAAAATCTGATAGGACTTACTTGCTACTCCTGATGCCAGTCCATACAGCAGTCCTCCCCCATCTGATTGTTGGGGAAAGATATGGGCTCCTGGAGGAGGTGGCTTTTCTTGTCTGATAAAGTTATATAATAAGGTTTTCACAAGTTTGCTGGTAAATGGAAGACTACATAAAAAGAAAAAAAATCAAACTCAATTATACTAACCATTTAATTCTGTACAATAACATGGAATTATTCAGCCATTAATATTGTCTCAAAGACAGGTTGGGATGAACTTTTTTAAATTGTTGTTGATGCTAGTACTGTGAACTATCCCTTAGATTTTTTCTCAAGGCTGGTGCTCTACCATTTCAGTCACAGCTCCACTTCCAACTTTTTGGTGGTTATCTGGAGATAAGTATCTCATGGACTTTCCTGACTGGGCTTTTCCTTTGAACCATGATTCTCATATGTCAGCTTCCTGAGTAGCTACAATTATAAGTGTGAGCTACCAGTGCCCAATTGAGATGAGTTTTGAGGCTTAATTCTGGATTTGCCTCTAACCACACATAAAGATAGTGATAAAATCATTAAAACTCAAGTGTCTGTTACCTTGTTTTCTATGTGACATTGCAAGATAGTATTTAGTATATAATTTAGTATATAATCAAGTACCTAGCACTTGAAAAAAGGTAGTAATATATAGTCAGCAAAAAAGCATTTAAAATAGCAAAAGATTATATTAAGTATAAACTACTCTATTTAGCCAATTTTTCAATTGGTAATAAACCAATTCCTATAATCTATATACAGTTTTTACATTTGTGAATGCAGCATTGAACTTTTTAGAATATGCTTTCCATAAAAATCAGTAAAAGAACATAATATGGCTTAAATATTTGGCACTGTAGGGATTCTATTAAAACATAGTAACTTAGAACACTTATTTAGAAAAAAATACAACTTAAGCTGTTGCTGTGGCTCATTCTTGTAATCCTTGGAAGAATCTATAATTGGAAGGATCAATGTTCAAGCCTATCTATGGCAAAAAGTTCTTGAGACTTTATCTCAAACCAATAGTTGGGTATGATAGTGTACAACTTGTCATTCCAACTATGCAGGAGGCATGAAAGAGAAGGATCAGGCATAAACTCAAGATGGTAGCCGGGCGCCCGGTGGCTCACGCCCGTAATCCTAGCTACACAGGAGGCTGAGATCTGAGGATAGCAGTTCAAAGCCAGCCCGGGCAGGAAAGTTCATGAGACTCTTATCTCCGATCAACTGCTAGAAAACCGGAAGTGGTGCTGTGGCTCAAGCGGTAGAGCGCTCACCTTGAGCTGAAGAGCACAAGGACAGCGCCCAAGCCCAGAGTTCAAACCCCACGACAAAAAAAAAAAAAAAAAAAACCTCAAGATGGTACTTAAAAAACAACTATAGCAATAATGGCTAGAGGCATAGCCCAAGTGGTAGAATGCATGCCTATAAAGTGCAAAGTCTCTCACAAGACAATCTCAAAAATAAAATTCAGGGGCTGGGAAGGTGGCTCAGTGGTAGAGCACTTGCCTTGCATACCTGAGGCCCTGAGTTCTATTCCTCAGCACTATATAAGAAAAAAGAAAAAAGCTGGAGGTGGCACTGTGGCTCAAGTGGTAGAGTGCTAGCCTTGAGCTGAAGAGCTGAGGGACAGCGCCCAGGCCCAGAGTTCAGGCTCCACGACCGGACCCAAATAAATAAATAAAATTCAGCATCAATACTACTGGCATTATAGAAAGACACTGATCAAGATGTACATTGACATGTTGAATTGAAATCCCTTTATACAACTACCTAAATATAATTAAAAATAAAAACTTCAAAAAGAATGAAGTTCACAATGTTGTTTTAGCAAAGGTGTTCAAAGCACTAAAATGCCATGTACTCCTTCAAGGCAAGGTCATTTTGGCTATTATTATCAGAGAAAGATTCAGATACAAATCCTCTGTACTAGAGAAAGCAATGAAGTTGGGGAGGACAGCTTGATTAAACAAGAACCAGAATTTAGTCTCTTCTGCATTACAAGTGAAGTAATGATAGAATGACCAACATCTTGTTGGGAATATAGGACAACAGTCAGGTTTGAAGGAAAAACTAGAAATAACAGATTACACAATAACAACCCAGACAAATTTAAAATAGAAGCTTACCATGGACCTTGCATTAAATACTTGTGACTTATGCTCTGCCGTAAAACTTCCTTGTGGAAAAGTTGACAGGAAAGGAAAACAACCATTGTTGATATAGCTTCCACTGATATTTCATATGTAATATCTCTGGAGAAATGTGGGAAAACAGAATGATAATCAGTTTGGAAAAATAACATGGTTCTTTTCTAAATAAACTGCACATTTAAAACCATTTTCAATACTATAATGAAATCAACTAAAAACACTGAGGATAGGAGCATAGGAAGGTCTTTCAGAAAGAATAATATGGGCCAAACAAATTTAATCAATGTACAGTATTTACATATAAGTATCACAACAAAACCTTTTTGTACAATTAGCTTATGCTATTTTTTTATTTTAGGTGATAAAAAAACTAATATGTTTAACATAAAAATTAAGCCAAAAAAATTAAACCCTTCCCCAGGCAGAAGTTCTTACAGGTGAGTCTGGAATCTCATTATTTCCCTACTTTCCCATCCAACTTCCTACTGAAGGACACATCTTGTAGAAACCAGAAGCAGTTTTTTGTTTTGCAGACCCACTCAAGATTTCTGCATTCATCTCTGTTTAGTAATAACAGAGAAACAAATACTCAACACAATGTAAAACTGAAGTCACAGTGGAAGGAAAAAAGCAATGACTTTTACAGCTGAAAATCTCTTTGCAGTCAGAATAATGATATACTCCAAATCTTTTTTAAAAGGGTATTTTAAAATTATCTTTAAGTAGCTATACAAAGGGGGCCTAATTCAACATAACATTTTATGAACAAAATGTATCTTGATCAAAGTCACCTCCCCTTCCACTGTTCTCCTCCATCTCTTTCAACAGTGGAGCCTGGAAAAGTATTAGTTGTTATTTCTTTTTAGGTGCCCTGAACGGGGTGCCTCTCTGGCTAACACTCTGCCAACTAAGCCATGTCTCCAGCCCCTCACTAACCAATTTAAAGGTGACTGGACTCTACAACTGGCCAAATTTTAACTCAATCAGATACTTTAAGGTGTTATCACTGATAAAAATATGTTGTAAGCCAGGCACTGGTGGCTCAAACTTGTAATCCTAGCTTATAATCAGGAGGCTCAGATCTGAGGGAGGATTGTAGTTCGAAGGAAGGAGAGTCCAAAAGACGTTCATCTCCAGTTAGCCACCAGAAAATAGCAAGTGGAGCTGTGGCTCAAAGTGGTAGAGTGCTAGCCTTGAGTAAAATAGCTCAGGAACAGAGCTCAGGCCCCAAGTTCACGCCCCTAGACCAACACCAAACAAACAAACAAAAAAAAATGTTTTGACATTTAGTTTTATCTTGCTCTGGATTTATAAAATGGCTTATTAAAAAAAACTCAGTAACCACTATACATATAGTGGTTAGTATTAGTAACTTTTTAAATGAAAAAAGGATACATATGCTTTGATAACAAAGTGTAGAAAAAGGAAAAGGAAAATAGTGGGCTTGCTGGGTGCCAGTGGCTCTCACCTATTATCCTAGCTACTCAGGAGGCTAAGATCTGAAGATTGTGATTCAAAGCCAGCCCAGGCAAGTACATCCATGAGACTCTCATCTCCAATTAACCACCAGAAAACTGGAAGTGGCACTGTGGCTCCAGCGGTAGGGTGTTCTCCTTGAGCTGAAGAGCTTAGGGACAGCATACAGGCCCAGAGTTCAAGACCCATGACCAACCGAAAAAGAAAGAAAACAGTGGGCTGCGGACAGCCACCTTTCCTGTTTTTCCACGGACCAATTCAGAAACAAGGCAGATGGGAAAGGTCTACTTCTACTTAAATGAGGGCTCCAGGAGAACAATGACTAGAAGAAACAAAATCACTCAATCTTAAACCTCTTAAAAGAGGGAAGAAAGGGGGTAGGAGCTTGCTGACACAGCCCCACAACAGCAGGATTTTCTCCTTTCCTGACAACCCTACTGCTGGCCGTCGTCATTCCCCTCCTCCTCCCTCCTCTTCCCCCACCTCCCCCTCCATTTTTTTTATTCTTTCTTTCTTCCTTCCTTCCTCTTCCTCTTCCTCTCCCTTCTTACAAGTCACCCAAGCAAGACACACCCCCTAATTTCCTTATTGTTCACTTTCTCCTCCTGGTAATACTACCCTCCACAGAGAACTGAATTATATACTTATACACAAATACTTTCTATACCTACAGCACTCATACTACACTCCCTTTTGCCCCTTCCTTTTCTCTTTCCTCTTCTTCCACCCTCCTTATACACAATACCCACATTCTAATTCCTAAATACTGCTCTTTTTCTAACCTTCCAATACATAAGAATGTTGTACCTTTGAATATATAACATGATTAGTTGTGTATATACTGTTACCAATGCTATTTTACTATTTGTAAGTATCAGTTTGGGTACTTAAACAGTACCTTTATTGGTGCCAGTACTGATTCACACTAGAAGTGCAAAATTGCACATGAGCCAGCTAATAACTATTCCTGTGAGAATACAGAGAATAATACACCAGAAATACTTCAAGCAATGAAAACCCCAAATTACCAAATTGTCTTCAAATGAGTAAATTGCAAAATAGAGATATACAAAAATGAGAAAGCAAGAAAATATAACCTTCTCCAAAAACTAATTATTGCACAACAAAGGATCACAATGATAGCAAAGTGGAGAAACCCAATATCCTGAGCTCAAGGAATTAAATGAGAGGATATTTACAAACAACTCTATCAAATCAAAGAAAACACAAGAGAAAAACTATACAAATTCACAAAAGATTCAAATAAAATGCTAAATGAGTATCAAGTAAATCAAATAAGCAGTTAAATGAGCTCAAAGAGAATACAACTAAGCAGCTGAAAGAGATCAAAGATTCACATATATAAATGAAGTAAAGAAGTCAATGGAAGACATGAAAAAGGATAAAGATACAAAAATTCTGGGGTGGAGGGACAAAGTCCTAGAAATGAAAAATAAAGTAGAAGGCTTCTCAAACAGAGCAGATGAAATAGAAGACAGAATTTCAGAGCTTGATGATAAAGCAGACATAGGAAAAAATACAGAAAAGGTATTAAAGGAATATGAAAAAATTTGCAAGAACTTGATGACTCTACTTAAAAGACCAAATTAACGCATTATGAGCATAGATGAAGAGGAGGTACTAGAAAGGGCATAGGAAACTTCAAAAACAGCAGAAAATTTCCCAGATCTTGGAAAAGGATCTAGGTAAAGGAGGCAAATACCCAACAAACTAGACCAGAATAGACCTTCCGTATGACATATTATAGTTCACAAGCTAGACTCCTATCTCTGACCCCATACTAATATTGATTATACGTGAATTAAGAAATCTTATTATAAAACTTGACTTTGAATCTACTACAGGCAGTAGGAAGAACAGTGGAACCTATTGGCACAAGCAGAAACTTTCTGAAAAGAAAGTATCTCAGCAAATAAGAGCAAGGATTGATACTTGTTGAAATATGGACTAAAATAGGCATCAATAAACTGGCTGTACAGAAGAAATAATTTAAGTACACAATGAAATATGTCTTAAATTAATAGCAAGAATACAAATAATGGAAATAGCTACCTCAGAATCTTTTTTTTTTTTTCACAGAAGATGTCAAAAACCTAATCTCAAAGGCTAGGTAGGAATGGAGCTCATTAGTAGCCCACTCACCTAGAATACACAATATTAAAAAAAAAAACCTAATATCCAATATTGTTACTTGTGGATAATGCTTATAGCTATGAACAGAGCAAAAAGAAAATTTAACTGCACACAGTGAAGGGATACACACACACACATACATACACACACACACACACACACACACACACACACACTTCTTTTTTTTTCAGTAGTGGGGCTTGAACTCTGGGCTTGGGCGCTGTCTGTGCACTCTTCAGCTCAAGGCAAGTGCTCTACTGCTTGAGTCACAGTGCCACTTCTGGTTTTCTAATGGTTTATTGGAGAAAAGAGTCTCATAGGCCTTCCTGCTCGGGCTGGCTTTGAACTGTAATCCTCAGATCTCAACCTCTTGAGTAGCTAGGATTACAGGCATGAGCCACTGGCACCCAGCTTACACACACACAATTCTTTTTTTTTTTTTGGGGGGGGTCCGGTCGTGAGCCTGAATTCTGCGCCTGGGCGCTGTCCCTCAGCTCTTCAGCTCAAGGCTAGCGCTCTACCACTTGCACCACCATGCCACTTCTGGCATTTTTTTTTCTGCTTATGTGGTGCTGAGGAATCCAACCCAGGGCCTCATGCATGCAAGGCAATTGCTCTGCCCCACACACAATTCTTAAGTCAAGGTCTCACTATGAAAACAAGGCTGGCCTGGAATTCAGAATCTAGTCCTGCCTCAGCATCCTATGAGTTCTGGGATTATATATATGCACCATCCCTACTAAAAAAATACTTTAGTAAGAATGACCATCTTTATCTTATTTAGAATAAAATTAGAGTCTCTAGCTCAGTTTCTTAGTCTCCACAACTTCTGACTAACCATCCAAACTTAACTCCTGCCATATCCCCTCCATCCTTGCTCATTCTGTAACAGCTTGGCAGACCAACTTTGTGGTCTTTGGATACACTAAGCAGAAGCCTACCTCAAGGCTTTGCATCTGCTGTTCCCCTTGCCTAGAGTGCTTTCCCATTAAATAGAACAGGACTCTGTCTCTGACTTCATTTGGTTTATATTTAAATATTCACTTCATAAGAAACTCACCCTTACAGTTTTGGCTTCTAGTACTGTGTTTTCCACTAACCTTATTACATCCTAACATTACATTATGCTCATTTGTTCATTGTCTGCGCTATCCTACAATTAGAATTCATTATTTGTAAATGATAATAACTTACAGTCTTCAGTATTATATTCCTATCACTTAAAACAGAGGCTAACAACAACCATCATATATTTGTTGAATACAAATAGTACCCATATACTACCTATGCTCACAGGTACAGAGTAACATTAATACTATTTTAGGTTACCAAAACAAAACAAAACAAAAAAGGTTTTGTGTACAAAGTTTACATGACAAGAGTATGTAAAATTCCCAGCTTCCATGATTTAATTTTCAGTATAAAAATGTACTAGACTCCTGGGGCCACAATATCAGAACTAGGAGTAACAG